CACATGTATCTCTGATCAGGTTGTGATGAGAACGGAACGTGGAACAAGGACGACGGCATCCGCTGCGTCTTAACCGTGGCCTCCAACGATCAGTTTACCCTGCTGCGAAACCAGGCGTGGGGCTATGACTAAGGCCCTTTTTTTGCCACTAAACGAGGGGGTCAGATATGGATGAGGTGAGCAGGGAGGGTTTGGGTGAAAGCAGGATCAATGGATATTCATTTGTAGAATCTCCCATAAATTCAATATTACTGTTATTTCAATACCACGCCAAACCTGGGCGTTTCGCGGGAACCCCGGGTAGCCGGGAAGGGCTGGGAAGGGCTGCCTCGCTCATCAGGTGGAGGCGGATTTGGCCCATTATGGTCTCATGGATGATGAGAGCTTGAAGCAAATGTGGAGGAAGTTGGACCGCAACGGCGACAACGAGGTGGTACCCGTTCTTTTGGGACTCATCCTCTTTGTTTTTCTTTTTGGTTTTTGAGACCGGACGGACGCTGGACACGACGGTTGGAGTCGATTGGGTTGGGTGGTGGCGGCGGTGTGGTGCGGATGGGGAGGGGCTTGCAGAAGAAGAAGGTGTTCATTGAAGCCTGGTTTTTCCACCAAGGGGGGGTTGATTCAGATACCAGTCCCATCCCGTCCCTCATCCTGGAAGCCATGAAGAGGTCTGGGATCATTTCTGCGAGACTTGGCTGATGATCCAAGTGCGGGAGGAATAGCCTACTTACTTCTTGCTACGAGCGCCAAGACCGCATGCGAGCCGTGCCTGGCTTGTACAAGACACCCTGGTACAAGTACAGACAACTTATATACATAAACTATCCCCCCTTCAATGAGACACTATAAAATGTCGATCCTGTTCCCTTACAAAATGTCTTCCGACCATACATTTTATAGTCCCAAACTGGGGGTCCATCATAAAGACGAAGGTTTTGGAGCAGAGGGTCAATACAATTTATAACAGGTTTGTTCCTCAAGAAGTGGATCATATTTCAGAGGGTCAATACATTCTGTAAAACACCAAATTCAGTGGATCATAAACTTACCAGCTTCAATCCCCAATTGGGGTGGCACTTTTTCCCGAACGCGTAGCGAAGGGTTCCCGTTTATGGTCTGAGGGTCTGGGGGCTGGACCTGTGTTTTGCATCGTGTGTGTCGTGTCATCGTCGTCGGGTCGTTGATTCCCTGACGCTGGGGGGAAGCTTCCCAAGGAGGGTTTGGATGGAAGCATGACGTGTCAGATTTGTATGGACACGCAACCGTGTTGAAGTGTGGAGGATGACTTTGCTCCGTAGGTCCTGCGATTTGTGAGACCCTCAGTATCCATCGCTGTGAGGGTGGGATTGGCACTCAGAGGGTCCGAGGGTGGTATTTATGAGGTGTTAGATGTGGCTGTGACAGTCACGATGCTTCATGTTATATGGCTACCTCCAGTCTGTTGCACACTGTGTGGCCAAATTCTGTCTGTGGATGTAGATTCGGCGTGTCGTTGGGGGGCGGGATGATTGGTGGTGTCCAGGGGGCTTGGTTTTACATTGTTGTATCTAGTCTGTGGCACACCGTGGAGCAAAAAAAAAATGTCTGTGATGTCGCTGTGCCATGCGGTTTTGCGCGGCCTCGGTGGAAAGTGTGTTTGCGTAGCTCCGTGCCAGTGGGGAAGAAAAGCATGCTGGTGTAAATACTGCGTGTCGCGGGGGGGGGGGGTGATTGGGGGTACGAGGCTTGGTATTAGCACCGTTGTGATCCTCTTGACGATAACCACCATCATCATCACCATCGCCATCATCAATGTCATCTTCAATCCTCATCCTTATCGTTGCCTTCTGTCATCTCCTCCCTTGTTTTCGTCCCACCCCGTTGTCTATTTCTTTATCAGGTGTAGCAGTCAGCTTTCTTTCATGAGCCCCCCGAAGGGGACATTTGGTCTCTTGGAATCCAGGCCAGTCTCGCGGAAGTGGAAGCATTGGTGACCCAGATGTGCGATGCAAAGATCTGGCCCAAGTGGATCAACAACCCAGACTCCATCAAGAGGCCGACTCTTTGGAGAGCTTTGGCTGCTGGGTGGTGTCCACTGGCATGTGGATGTATGTTGGGTCTTTCCGAAGTTGTGATTGTGGAAACTGAAGGGGGGGATTCTTTTGTACATCTGGATGGTGGAGGTCATTTGCCACTACAGGGCCACACAGTTTAAACTGCGAATTCCGCAGCTTCTCAGACTAATGTGTTTGATCCCCAACTCCCGGACTGGGTTGGTAAACCTACGCTGCCTTACTCCACCCTACCTAGTGCTTTTTCAGGACCTTGCCCCAAGCTTGCCTCTTGTGAGAGCTCCTGAACACAGCCAGATTTCCAGGTTGAGAACGGGAGATCCCACAACTAACCGGAAAGTTGGTCGCAAGGTGTGGCTAACTCGGGAATATTCAACACTTTTCGAAGTTCCTTTTATTGGACCGTGAGACCACCCAAAACCACCTGTTTCCCTTTGACCATTGGGTCTTTTTCAACCTTTGGATTGTTGTGTTCGAAATCCCTTCAAACACTTCACTCGATCCTCAAAGTTCCTTTCGCGACGGTGGAAGCAGCCAGCGCGCGACCGTGGAAGCCGCCAGGGCCTTTGAAAAGGCGGCGGGCCTGGATGGGGCCAATGATGAGGCGGTGGAGAAGGAGGAGCGCATTTCTGGAGGGGTTTTGAGTTGAAGAAGGTGAGGACACGTAAGACAGGTGGAGTGGTTTTCGGCGGACTTTGCGTGAAGCCGACGCACGCGTGACGAACTCGCAAGATTCGAGAGGTACTGCCGCACTGCTTCAGATTGGACAAAAACCAACGGCTGTTGACTGGTGAGTTGAGTTCATTTGTTTTGGCGTCCTCTTTTTGACCCTCTGCGCTTTTAGGGTCTGCAACGCACTCTCAAAAGGATTGCCTGCAACGCGGTAGCCGATGCGCACGGACCCAAATGCGGCTCGGCACCCGATGGTGCTTGTCCAGCGGAACACCGGGCGGCCCTCAGATCGGGCCGTTGTGTCTGGACTTTTCACCGGGTAATCCCAGGTGTTCAGTCTAAACGGCACTCAGGTTTGCCCACAAAGACCCACCGGTCAGGTGCCCATCAGGCGGCTGGGAACAAAACCAGCCGCCTCTAGACACCGGTATCGACGGAGACCGGCACTCGAAGCAACGGCAGTCGCAGCTTGGAAGCGAGGAGTTCCATGCGTTGCTGTTGGATCTCTTTTGGTTCGGCCATCTGCATGAGATGCCTGGAGCTGCATGAGAGGGGTATGGTCTTTTTCTGGAGCTGTCCCTATTAGGTGACTCTTTGGTGGAAAAAGTCTTTGGCTATAACACACATATATATATATATATATCCACATGTTTTTTTGTTTTCATGGCAGAGCATGACGTTGTGGTGAGTCTTAAGATATCAATGGACAACGGCTGTCGAAGAGAGGGTATCATTGTGGCTGCATGTCCAAGACTCATACAAGAAGTTCCGTTTTTTGAGGGCTATATATATATATTTGTTGGAAATCACCCTTCTTGTCTACCCCCTCTATAGGTAAAAGACACGTCCGCGCTTGCACGAATTTGTTGTGGTTCACTCGGACTGTCCAATTCCAGCAAGCGTCGATACAACTTGTCCTTATTCACTTCGGCAACGTGGCAACAGGACATACTGAGAGAGCATTGCCACTGAAAGAGGTGTGAGGAAAGGCATTTGTGAAAGCCTTCTGGCAGGTGGAAAAGACTGCAACCACCTCTTCTGCATCCTGGACATCTTTCACATAAAAAGATTATCCTCTTTCTGTTCACTTGCTTTCCACAACCATCCTCCAGTCCGGCTCGGGCAGTTTGGACAGTCCACACCCGGTCCCTGAACTTCAGGGAGTGGAGACCAGACTGTTCCCCTCCACCCTTCGCCTTACCCCGCACACCTTTGGAGCCCAGGATCTTCGAGCAATGGGACCAAAGCCACGATAATATGCTCTCCTTGCCGGAGTTCGTCGCTGGGATGAAGGACCCAACGAAACCACTGGCGGGTGGGCCATGGTTCCTGGTAGGGTTTCTTTGGTGTTTTGGCGCAGGGGCGCCTCGTGTGTGGTTCACCATGGTTTAATTCAGTTTTTCAATCGAAATGCGCTTGGCAGAACCCGGATCCCGTCAAAAAGACGATGGTCCACGTAACGAACACAGAACGAGAAAAAACAAAGAGATCCTAGATGACTGGGAGGTGGGGTCATTCTTCCATCGGGCTACGATAGTTCGGTCGGGTGCGAAAAAGACCATCAGGAAATGCAGATGGTCTGGTGCTAGGTCCTGCTAGGTCATGGGGTTGAAAGGCACCAAGCCTCTTCTTTTTGAAGGGTCAGAGTTGCACCGGCACCAAGAAAGCAAGGCACTCACCAACCACTAAAGATACAACATACTCACTCTTTAGATGGCGCTCACAACCCATCTGCAACGTACCGTCTGCTGGTCCTAGCCGGGCCGCGCTCGTTGTGTAGGAGCTGGGCATCCGCTTGACGCAAGAAGAGGCCGAAAGCGAGTTCAGGCCGCTTGTTCAGTTTGGAAGGTCGGACCGTTCCCCGGCAATGCGGAGCCTGGGAGAAACGGCGCCTGGAGATGATGAAAAAACGTGGGGGCGACCGAAGAAAGGGGGAAGACATCGGGAACGTGGAAGGGCCGATGTTTAGCTCTTCCTTGTCAGCCTGTACTCATACGTCGTCTTCGCCTGGCTGCGTGGCCGGATAGGAAGTCACCTGACCAACACTCGTCGGCCTCCCATCCGGATTGATTTCATTGGCCGAAGCCACGGAGTTCGGTGGGTTGTCAGCTGCTGGGGATCCCGCATGGTCCCATAGTTCGTCGTCTCTACCCCCAAAATACCTGGACCCCCACAGGGAAATGTACCCCGCCACAGGGGTCAGACGAGTTTTTGGTCCTTTACAAGCCCTTGCATCGCTGGCAAGACTCGCTGTTCAAGGCTCGCGACCGGAGTCTGATGAGTTGGAACGTCCTTCGCAGCTCAAGGTCTGCGGGGAAGAGCATGGATGGCGGCTTGCTCCCTTTCTCCGACTTCTGCTCCTACGTGCGCCAGCGCGTGCAGCCGAAGCACAATGCCAACTTCGACAAGAAGCCGGCCAGGGGCTCCAGTCTGCGGTGCACGCACAAGCTGTGAGGGGCAAGAGTCAATTTGATGGAAAGAATCCGGCCTACTTGGAAGCATCAAATGAGCATATTTAAATGGATCTGTATAAAGCCTCCCAAAGATCCCTTGAAGAAGGACAATCGATCCAAGCGCACTGGTTGGGAGTCTCCCCATTTAAATACACGCTCAAGCAGCATGTACCTCGTAAGTGGCATCTTCATCTGCAGATCTCTATAACACCGAGATTTTAGCAGACGACATGAAAGCTAGTGGTTTTCTTGTCCCTAAAAGTTCCAAGTGAGAAGATTACCAAACACAAGGGAGAACAACTGGAGCATCTCTGACCGCCGAGAGAGAGCATGAACATGTACATCAACCCATGAAAAGAGAGATTTCCAGGTCATTGACCCAGTTCCTGCCATCTAAAGTCTAAACCTGTTCCATGTCCAGCTGGGGTCTTTAACAGAAAATTCTTTTCGGTTTTCCTTCCATGTTCAGCGATGGAGAGGGAGAGAGGCTTCCACTCTCTGAAACGGGCCAACAACGTGGATGGCACCGAAACGGTTCGGATGAGGAAATCAATCAATCCGAAGACCAAACAGATGACTTTTCGTGGGTGAACTCTCCACCGTTTGCCGCGTAGACGGCTTCTGCACCTCGCCCGACGCGGGTTCCCGCGGCACCGATTCGACCGGATGCGGCCGAGGTAGCGAAGGATGCGCAGCTGGATACCTTGCGGAAGTCGCACGGAGAGCAGGCGGCTCTTCTTTTTTCTGCATGGGAGCCATGGGACGTATATTGCAGAAGAGGTTCCAGAAGACATGTCACTCATTATACAGCTATATACTGCAATGCTATATGCTTGCTAGATGTGGCAGTTGAAAGGGAGGTATCCTGCACCACCTCCAATTGTTTTCAGGATTTTTGGGGTGGTGCATTGGTCAGGGGAACCCCTTTTTTTCCCGCAGAGAAAAGGAATACCCTGTGGTGGACATGTCCTCATCCCCTGTGCTTTGTATGATCTATAGATTCGGATTTGCGTTTTCATGGATATATGGGTGTGTATTAGAATAGGGAGACCCTCCAAAGACCCCAATAAATAATTGGGCCATATACCATAGGTTCCCCTATTAAAGTACAAACCATAATACCATATGTTGGCTTCCTAAGCCGGGTCTTTCGAAACGGAGTTGCGGTAGGAGCCTCCATGAGCTCTGTTGTCATAAAATCGTTTTGCTCGGTGGAGGCCACTCACGGGGAAATGATGATCAAGAAAACCATGGCGGATTTTGACAAGTTGGAGAAGGAGATCAAGGCCAGAAGTAGAGAGATGAGAAACACTCCGTTCCCGTTCGAGCTACGTCAATCTCTACAGGGATTTCACAGGGTTGTACCCTGATTTGTGCGGCAAGTGCCAGTGCCTACGAATCCATTGTAGGTTAACCGACCCATAACACTGTTCATGGCCAGAGAGGGGGGGCAGAAGCCTCAGCTTGCTTTCTTTCGTCCGAATCTTCACCGGGCCACGGTGCGTCCCACGGCCAGGATCAGCTCGGTCGCGCGGGTCGCTCCCCCCTGATTGACGCGGAAGACCTCACGCGGACCAAAAACGCGGTGAAAACATTTTCGTTGCCGAAACAACCTCAAACGTTCCAAGTAACACGACTGGATTCTGCCTCTCAAAACCCTGGAACACGAAAACCCGTTGAAGCACCCGGTCCTGGTGGTTCTTCTGTGGTCGCTCTCGGCTCGCTCCGCCCCAGGGCATGATCAAGGACAACGACCAGGTGAAGTTGAAGAAGATGTGGAGGAAGTTGGAGCCCAGGAGCTTCATTGAAGGTATTTTTTAAAAGTTTTCTTCCCTGAAACTGCAGGTGGATCTTTTGTCAACTCCTTCCTTGGGGCGTTTTTTTGCATGGACTGCTTTGGCAAGTGCTTTGGACCCCGAAGTTGAGCCAAGTCGAAGTGCTTTCTGATGTTCCGGGCTCCGGGTCTGTAGTTGGGCCATTGGGGGGGGACCACTCTCTCTTTAAATTTTGAGAACTGTGGTGTCTTGGCTTCTCCAGAGTTTTTAAATGCTGGCAATCAACAACCGCCTTGCGGATCCGTGCTTGACGGCATGAATGAACTGCGGACGATTTTCAACAGGAACATGGAAGGAGGCGCTCTTCATCCGTCACACACAGGGATCCCTATGCGAAGCAGCCGCTCCCGGCTGGCTCTTTTTCTTTTCGCTGCGCGTGTGGTCGGTGCCACACGTCGCAAGAACTAAAGGAAGCGGAGGAGGTAAGCCGCTCCCGGGTGGCTCTGAGGAGCCATGTGGCGGACGCTTGGAAGTTCAGGGCACACTGAGTGCAGGGGCCGCTGTGTGTCTTTGGCATGTTCTCCTTGCTGGAGATGAGCCTGGAACAATGCCTAATGGACGTTTTCTGGACACTGCCTCTCCTCCATTCAGATCGCCTTGCGCGCCGTGTCCCAATCGCGCCCGACAGTCACCTTCTTCTCGTTGTATCCACTGCCTGGACCCATAAGCTTTTTTTGAGTACATCCATACACACGCACACACATGCGCCAGACGCACAGCAAGGGTTGCTTCTTCACGCAAACTGGGCGTGTGCTCCAAGGTTTCCTCGAAGGGTTTCCTTGCGACGTGGCGCGCGACCCCACAGAGGTGACTGATCGGCGGAGGAACAACGCGAGCGGATACATCGCGCGAGCGATCGCGGCTGAGGATTTCAATGGCAACAACGTGGTCTCGTTGGCTGAGATTGACAAAATGGCAGTGGAACAGTTCCCCTTGCTGAACCACAAGCCTGCGCTCATGAGGGCCTACAAAGCTTCCTTCGGTGATGAGGGAGACGAGTTTATTCATAAGCGTGAGTTCAAGATTCTTCTGGCCAACCTGTTCTACTTCAACAAGCTCTTCTGGCTCTTTGACCAGGTGGACCAGCGGGGGGGGAAAGCCGCAAAGCCAAGTCCTGGTGTTATGGCCAAATGGGAGGTTCAACCAAACCGACACCTCTTTTTGCGACTTTTAGAGTTTCTGGGATGGAAAGCGAAGGTGACAAAGCCTCACCTTGGATGAGTAAGTCTGGTGCTGGCATGTGGGTGCTGGCCCAGGGGTTTGTTCTTCAGATGATTCCACTGGAAGGAGCTTTAGACATTCAGACATATCGTGAGATAGGCGCAGATGTTTTGTTATATATATATATGGAACGTCAAGGTTCCTTTCCTGTTCTTTCTAAGTCACTCAATTGGATCGGAGGATATAACATGGGGTCATTTTGCCTTCGCGTCATGCCTTCGCGGAAACGTAAAGGCCACGGTAAAAACGGCCGGTTTCCCCTGGTTGCGCGGTTTCAGCCTGCACAACTTGCAGGTGGACCAAGACCACGATCGGCGGATGGATATCAAAGAGTTTACGTGGTGCATGTCCATGTGTGGCCTCAAGCTTTCCCAGCCGAAACTGGAGGCGTGGTACGCTTCTTTTTTTCCCATTGTGTCTTGCTAAAGTTAGTTTTTGTTTCTCTTTGTATCTGCGCAAGTTGGCAATCGAGAAGAAGTTTGTTGGTTGAAAGGACTGAACCAACACCTTTATGTTAAAGTGTGATGGGTAAAGGGTTTCCAACATTGCCAAGGCCTACATTGTGTCTGTATAGGCTTTACAATCTGCTTGGTAGTCCAGAGTAGGACGCCCCTCTGACTGCGTGGGCGGCCTTGGTTGGCACGGGGTGGCCCAGGCAGAGTTCAAGAAGATCGACCAGAACGGTGGAGGCATCATCCTCTTCGACGAGTTCTGCCGACACCTGGACCAAGCAGTGCGATTGGGGCGACTGGGGCGACGTTCGTACCCTGGGGCGACTGGGGTCGGTTTGGGCTGAACCCATTCTTCTTTTTCTACTGTCACCGCCAGAGAGTTTAGAGAGGTAGGGTGTAGCTGGGTGAGTCCTGATGTCCGAGGACCGACCTTGATTTGAGGACGTTCGAAGGGACATGACACGTTCGCAACGTCCGTGAGAGTGAAGAAAAGACGAATCACGGACGTTGCAGTAGTGACTTGAAAGTAAACATGCGTCTGTGTTTTCGGTCGCACGCATTCCAGGAGTCAGAGTCAGGCTTTTTGTTCCATCCAGTGAGTGGATGTGACAGGGGCACCCCTTATCCTCCAAGTTCGGCACCCCTTGGTGACTCCTGGTTCAGACCGGTCATCCACCGCCCATTTCATGGAAGAAACCACCAGCCCTCGGAGGTCGCTAAATCTCCCGTGGTTAAATGCTAGTCTCTTCGTGGAAGGCCCAGGGCCTAAGAAAACATGGCTTTCAGCCATGGCAGAAGAAGAACTACTTCCAATGCTTGGTCCGCTGACGCCGCGCTTCCGTCATCGGTCACCGGTTGGGGACGACGGATGCGGGGCCCGCACGAGTGTGTAGGACATTTCCGGGAGGCCCGCAACCAATGGGTAGACTGGTCTATTGGCTTCTTGTCTAGGCCTGTTGTGGGTTTTGCTGCTCCCCTCCAGTGTAAACCCAACCAATGGGTAGACTGGTCTATTTGGTTTCTGGTTTCGTTCCCGCCCCAGGATACTTTACAGACCGGACATGCCCTGAAGCGATGACAGACTTCATCGACAACCTCTGATGAGGGACGACGCGGCAGAAAAACTATCTCATCCAAGGGAGCGAGGGACGGACGAGATGGGTGTGGGTCTGATTTCAGAAAAGATGAGGTAGTTAGCACTCGTAGCGGGAGAAATGGTTGTGCAAGAAACTGTCATGTGCCAACCTGTAGGGGGCTATAGTATTATACATGCATGATAATGAATAAGAACTGATGACCTGTGAGAACCAGTAGGGAGCAATCGTATATTATATATATGATCAGAAGCTGACATGTGCGGAAGAGTAGGGGGCTATAATATATTGTATCATGATTTGCCAGCCACTACAAGCTACCAATTGCAAGTGTTTGATGTCAGACCGTCAGACCTGCATCCATGACTCCAAGACGGGGAAGAGGCACTGGGAATGGACGAAAGGTGTTGCACGAGTCCATGGAGTGGGTGACTGCACGGATCTGTGGGATCTTCGTGACTTCAGATGAATCACATGTCAAAAGCCGATCCATTTCTGATGGCTGATAGAAGAAGATAGTATATTTCAGAGCATCTGAAAAAGTGGAGTCCATGCGTAGAACTCCCTTCCCCTTTTGGGCCATTTGTGGCTTGGTCTTGGAGTGATCTGATCGGTCCCTCAAAGGGAACTTGGCACCGTTCACTTCGTTCCGATGCCACTGAAAGTGGCCACTTTTATCCCTGCATCCGCAAATTTGGGAGGGCACCCCATTTTGAGCGCCGAAAGCCACAGAAGCTGCGCGTGGTGCTTGCCACGTGTGGTTGTGGGTGTTCGAGCCAGCTTCCCCACATGCCCCGCGAGCAAGTCTCCAAAGCCAATTTCAGTTGCATATAGATAGATGCACATAGTTGCTACTGGATTTCCAGGGCAGGTTTGTTAAAACAGAGTGAAGATGTTATCATGGTCCGGTGTTGAACAAAGCACCTCTTCGGTTTGGGTCCCCAAACCGCCCTTTCCTTGGTGGGAACGCAGAGAAGACGAAGAAGCTCGGAACCTCCGTCACCGACGGCACGGTGAAGCGATGGCCCGGAGAGGCTGGCACCTCTTTCTTCATTCTCCCATTTCTGCGGACTCAGGGGCGAAGCGCCAGGGGGCTCCAAGGCTTTACGCTCAAAGATGTTCTGCTTAGAATACTGGTAGCTACATGTTCTCAGCTTAGGATCCAAGAAATATGCATAGGGTGAGTCGAGGAGGTGAAGGACCCCATGACTAGGAGCAGTGGATGCCTATGGGCTGGATGCAACCTTTAGCATGCTGGGCTGGACATCCAAGGTAATGCTGCTTTTCGCGGGATGAGAGGAACTCCGACTGGAGCCAAAACAACAGAACTTAGGCAGGACATGAAACAGAACTCAATGGCAGAATCAGTTTCATGCTGGATATATAGCTGTTTGGAGACATGACGCAGCAAGAAAGCACCTGTGGGGTAGTTCTTCTTTCGCTGATTCACCTCTGGACAATGACCACGCAATTGTGCCTCCCAAGATCTCAGGGACGCTCCTCAGAAATCCATGTTGAAAACCACGAAATTGTTGGGTTCACATGGGCCGCAATGTCAGGTGGGACTGCCAGGACCTAGTGTCCGACACAGCCCCCACTGGTGGGGTTCGGGTCTAACACTTGGAGTCCCCTGACTGTCGACGAACTGAAGCCGAAGACCGTTCAGAAAGGTGACGCAGCGGCCGCGCGGAAATCGGGGACATCGGGTTGCGTGAATCCATAGGGGGCTCCACGACTGGGACGCACCAAGATGCTCCACTCTCTGGCACACTCGACGCTCCACTCTTCGTCTCCACAGGTTTGGATGTGAACATGTGGCGTTCCTTTCCAGAAGTCGGCATCTTTTGGAGAGTGAACATAGAGCTACCGAAAAGGGAGAGCTTCATGATCTCTAGCACATGTTTTCCGTCAATCGATTCGTTTTCTATTTAGTTTCAAGGAGACCCCCAACTCCCTGAAAACGAAGCTCTTGTGTTGGCCAAAAAAACGATCCAACATGTCCCGAACAACACCTTCGTTGAGGCCTTTGACGTTTCCCGGACACCTCGGTCATGGCTGAGGCGTCTACATGGGCAACTGCGGCACGGACTGGTCGGTCACGAAGAACTTCTCGGATTTGTTGCAAGGTAGCAGAGACTTGGAAAACGCATGGAGAGTCAGAGGGGAGAGTGTTAAGTTCTTCACCACTGGCGAAAATGGACATCGAAAGTTTCTAGGGAGGTTGGCTGAAAACGCCGATTCGGTTCCACCTGCATTCATTGAGCTCCATTTGGATTTTGTCTTGGGAGTAACAGATTGGCCAAGTCATGGCAGTTGTTTCCACTTCCAAGACATGGATCTACCCTCCTGGGTGCTTCCAAGGTCGGAGTCTATCTCTATCCCAAGTGGCAGATAGAACTGGGGGGTCGATCTGTTCCACAAACCATGCAGGCTTTCATCTTGTTACGTTCGTAGGCTTGCAATGGCCTCCAACCTACTAGCATAGCGTCCTTGTTACTACCCGGGGTGACACAGACTTCTTAAGGAGAAAGCATGCTCGACTTCATGGCCGCGAACTCTGCGCATGTGGCCTCGACCAGGACGAACTCTGACTGCGCAACTGCGCATGTGCCGTCGAACGTCTTCGATCTGGACCCTACATTTTGATGAATTCTCAAGTCCCAGTGAATACAGGGAGATTCTACACTTCCCTTTTCTCGACTATTCTTTTCATCTTGTTCTTTCTTTTTGGACATTTGGGTCTTTCTTGCTTCGGAAGGTCTTTCAGCCGCTAGCTCCACCGTCTTTGCGTCGTCTGCATCCAAGCACGAGCTACACATGCAGCAGCTGCGTCGAGTGTTACGGTCCGGGTCCCACCTTGCCGTCTCCGCGCGCTGTCGCGCCTGCGCCGTCGCGCACATGCAGCAGCTGCGTTCCGCGTCTTCCGCGTCTTCCGCGTCTGGGACGGTGTCCCACCTCGCCGCGCGAACGGGCTCGGCGGCTGGGCTCGGCCAGGATCTCCCATGTCTTCGGTCTTCGAGGACCTATCAACTGCTCGGACACCGCCTGTTCCTCCTCGCTGGTGGCGAGCCATGGCGGAAGATGCGGAAGTGAGGTACTATAGGGGGTTTTGGGACGGGTTTCTGGGAGGGGAAGTGACGAGAGACAAGCTCGACTTGGCAGACTGGCAGACTGGCCGCTGGATCGGATCTTTTTCAGGCCCCGAAAATAAGACTCCGAACGGGCGCGACCTCTTGGCAGGGGGATTGGACCTTCTCCACCGATCTCCGTCAGGGGAAAGTCCGGGCCCGAACCAAACCTGATTTGTTTGAGGTCCAGATTCTTAGGGTTTGACGCCAGTCTTTGAGGTCTTTTTGTTCGACTCGGCCAGAAAGCTGTTGCAGTGCAGGTTTCCAGCGGAGATCTTCCGCTACGTGGGTGGGTGGAACTGTTCTCAGAACTCACACAAGTCCTTTCTCTTTGTTTTCGGTTGGACAAGACCTCTGGATGAAGTCGCATGATGTTTCTTTTTTTTGGGGTAGGCAGGCAAGAGCGCTGGGTCTTTGGGGTTGATTCATGCAGAACCTCACCCCAATCCCGGGTCCTTTCAAAAAAAGAAGCACACGTATCCTTCCACCAAACAATTCAGGGCACCTCTTAATCCGAAGACTTTGTTCAATAACAGCAACTCCTTTGGACTCTTCATCTTCTGAATGATTTTCCTGCGAAAAGGCTCCGCCTCGCCACCGGTTTTTGGCCTCCTTCTTGGCCTCGAAGCCCGAGGACCGGCGAGGCTCACAACGCCGGTGGCCCTGGGAGACGCGGACTTGGAAGAAAGGATGACTGACAAGCTGACCCATCATTGGAGGCCTTGCGCGCCATCTCCAGGAGGGATTTTTGGAAAAAAGGGTGGAGACGCAAGAAAGAGCCCCTTTCCGCGATCTTCCACGTGATGTGGCAACAAGTTTTCCAGAAATCAAGCCGCTGATGCAGTCGGATCAAAGCCATCGATTTGAGTGCTTCTACGGCTTCGACTACTACGATCCCGGATTTGGGAGCTGACCAAATCTACTGGAGAGCCTCACTAAAGTCCAACGACGAGGAAATGGTGAGTTTGATCCCCTCATCAGATACACTGATATACTTCCGGTATTTTTGTGCAGGAAGCTCTGGTGCCAGCATGTCATCCGATCTCATCAACCCCTGTTTGGCTACCGAAGTGGAGTGGAAACCACCTGTTTGGTGTTCGGAAAATGGATGAACATGGTAAT